ATAGACGATGAACTGTTTATTTTAGTGGCTGAAAAGTGGGATTCACAAAACTCGAGTGTATTAATAACAGCGGTCTTTTCATCGTTAAAACATTTTCCAGTCAATTTAGTTTTAATTTCATTTTGAAAATTTTAAAATTATTTAAACAGCATTCAAACGAATTATGCATCAAATGAAATGAAATAATTTCTTTGTAGTCATTTCTTTGTCGTTTTTACTCTTATTTATTTTACTTTGTAATTTAGTTTTTTTTGGTATTGTTTGTTTTTGTTTACAAATTTTGATGACGTTTTGGTCTATTGATGTTTATGTCTAATTAGGAAGATTGTTTTTATTTTGTCTTTCACGATGCAGTTGGGTTTAATCGCTTACAAGAAATTTTATTCAGTGCTACAACTTGCGGTGAGTGACGATGATGATATGACTTGGTGATAAGATGGTAACGATGATGACGACGATGTAGCGATGTGGTTATCATTATAATGATGTTGAAGCGATGATATAATATAATGTAATAATAAAATTGCTTTGTTGGTAAGAAACTGTCAAGCTAGTTAAGCACCGATCTATCCGAGTGGACAACTGATGCCTGTGTAAAAGTTCAAGGACGAGGTCATCTAAGGTCATTTAAGATCATGGGGGTCTGATTACTGCGCCAGCTTTCGCTGCTTATATTCCGGAAAAAGATTTTGCTGTTGCTGCAGCTGAAGTATGGAGGTTACTCTCCGACCACTTGGAGGATGCTTTCCTCACTGGTTTCCTCAACTTTTAAAAAGTGAAACATCACCACGCAAACAATGAAGTATAAGGAACAGTGGTGGTGGTAGTAGTAGTAGTAGTAGTAGTAGTAGTAGTAGTAGTAGTAGTAGTAGTAGTAGTAGTAGTAGTAGTAGTAGTAGTAGTAGTAGTAGTAGTAGTAGTAGTAGTAGTAGTTTCTGTTCTTGTCACTTGTTTGTGATATTTGAAAGGCGATACGTCGTTAATATTAATTTAATTGCTCGTTTTATGTCTAACATTTGTTCAATTCATCAACATCACCGACAGTGATGGTAATAAAAGTTTTCAAACATTATCGTCAAGACGACGATGACGATGATGACGGGATGATGATGGTAACGTTAATGTAGATTGCATTTGTATTACTTAAAATGATATTTAAACATTTAAAATATATATACAGAAACCATTTTTTAACCATTTTTTAATATACGTGTAATCCTATTTTCTGTAGGACTTCTAGCATAATCATGTGGGCCACACACACAGATCCTTAAGTAGAAACAAAATTTTTTGGGAATATTATTGTCACTCACACACACACACACTCACACACGCACACACGCACAAACACACACAAATACACACACACATACATACACACACACGCATAACACATATATACAATATTAAACACAGGTGTATATTTATATTAATTACAAATCGAATACAGAATTTGTTGAGTGTAATGCGTCAGAAGTCTATAATACAATGACTTATAGAAAAATGAATTCATGGTTTGATAATTAACATAAAAGTAATAATGTTGAATAAAATTATAATTAACATTTCTTTTCATGAATTCACTCACCCATTCATTCATTCATTCATTCATTCATTCATTCATTCATTCATTCATTCATTCATTCATTCATTCATTCATTCATTCATTCATTCATTCATTCATTCATTCATTCATTCATTCATTCATTCATTCATTCATTCATTCATTCATTCATTCATTCATTCATTCATTCATTCATTCATTCATTCATTCATTCATTCATTCATTCATTCATTCATTCATTCATTCATTCATTCATTCATTCATTCATTCATTCATTCATTCATTCATTCATTCATTCATTCATTCATTCATTCATTCATTCATTCATTCATTCATTCATTCATTCATTCATTCATTCATTCATTCATTCATCCATCCATCCATTCATTCATTCATTCATCCATCCATTCATTCATTGATGTAGCGCTGACTTTAAAAGCGCCATCTTGCCAGTAAACTCTTGAACATATAAAAAACGTTATTCATCAATAAATAAATTTTCAAATTTTTACGAAGCACGTAAAAATTGTCATTCATGGTATTGAACTAATCTTCTCAATTGTTTGGCATCAACTGAATTTGACATATTCTTCAGAAATAACTTGATTTCAAAACGAAGTCGTCATAATTTAGTCCACCAAAAAGGACGCTGCAGTACTATAAAATTGGTTTTCTATCTGTAAAGGCATTTTGTTTGAACCAGGAGTGAGCATGCAACCCGAGAAGTAGGTTACTTTAAGCATGTTATCAAGTGGAAGTGAGTTTTAAAAAATAACTCTCAACTGATGTGGTCTAAATTATAATAATAATAATCTTAATGTTATTTTTATTATTAATGTTAGTGTGTTAGTACTACTACTATTTCCTTTACTTCAACAACAGCAACACCCACTACTACTTTTACTACTACTACTACTTTTACTACTACTACTGCTACTACTACTACTATTACTACTACTGCTACTACTATTACTACTACTACTACTACTACTACTACTACTACTACTACTACTACTACTACTACTACTACTACTACTGCTACTACTACTACTATTACTACTACTACTACTACTACTACTACTACTACTACTACTACTATTACTACTACTACTACTACTACTACTACTACTACTACTACTACTACTACTATTACTACTACTACTACTATTACTACTACTACTACTTTTACTACTACAACTACTACTATTACTACTACTACTACTACTATTACTATACTAATACTAATATAATACTACTACTAATATTACTACTGCCACTACTACTGCTACTATTAATATAACTATTATTATTATTCTCATTATTATTATTATTTATATTATTATTGTTGTTGTTGTTATTCATGTTTACAGAGCAGACAATTTTTTAGCTCCATTGATTTTTTTCAACACTGATTAGCTCGGCGATAAGCCAGCCATTTTTGTTTTTTTTGATTATCATTATGATTGTTATGATTATTGCTATGATGAAAATCATAATTATAATAAGAATAATAATAATATTATTAATATTATTAATAATAGTACAAGTAGTAGTAGTGGTGGTGATAGTAGTAGTAGTATTAGTAGTAGTTGTATTAGTAGTAGTAGTAAGAGTGGTAGTAGTATCAGCAGCAGTACTAGTAGTAATAGTAGTAATTGAATCTGAAAAAAGAATCCCATGTAACAGTTTTACACTAAGGAACAAGGCATTTAAAATCTCGGTTCGTTTATATAAAGCCCTGATGATCAAGTTTTTAATCAAATCATAATCAGCAAGCGTACAGCACGATTGATGAAAGTTATTAGTAGCGCAGAGCAAGCTTCGTATAGAATAGAAGTAAAAAGGAGCGTCTGCTGAATTAGCAAGCCACGGCTACAGTGAGACGACTACGTATGGAAATATTTTTGGTATAAATAGCAGATCAACACTGCTTAAAAATCAACAGTCATCGAGAAGCGTTCGAGTGATAAACGAACGTGGCCCAATCCCCCGAGAATGTAAGGAGGTTGTGAAGGGCCGAATCCTTTGTCCTCTAAGGACTTCTCGATGGTTTGGCTCAACGGAATTCTTACATACATGCATACTCACAAACACACAAAAACCCACACACACACACACACACACACACACACACACACACACACACACACACACACACACACACACATATGTACACACACACACATGTACACACACACCTACAGACAGGCAGACAACTCATATACATACAGACAACAATTGATGTTATAAATAAATTGATTATTATCCTCAATACAGCATAAATAATTTGTAAATTATATTAAATTATTACTATGTATATACAGATATATTACTATATTATGTCAAAGTATATATTTATATATATGTATATCTTTATATAATTATTTATTTATATGTTTATTTATTTGTGATAAATTCTAGCCATACATTTATCATCCAAGATGTGATATAGTGTGAGTTTATTTTTATAAAAACACACACACGCACACACATGCACACAAACGCACATACACGCACACACACGCACACGCACACACGCATGCAATATACCTAGAAGATGAAGACGATAAGGGTGATAATAATGATGATGATTGAGATGAAGATGATGTGTACAATTGGTGGTTAAATTTATTTGTGTGTGTGTGTGTGTGTTTGATTGATTGTATGTGTTTGTTTGTGTGCGTGTTCCACTCAAACACACACACACGCAGACACATACAAATACTCACACACACACACACATACAACAAATTTTTTTGCATTGTTTAGCAGTGCGAGACATAACATGAATACGACATCAGCCAAATTGTCGTCCATCTGATATTTTTATTATGAACATAATAATAATAATAATAATAATTATTATTATTATTATTTTAATATCTATTAATTAGTTGTCAATTAAATAGGATTTTATAATTATTTCATTATTAATATTTGGTATTTGGAGTTAGAAAATGAAAGGATGTTCCCATTATTATTATTATTATTATATAATATTTTACAAATAATTATTTAGTTATTATTAAAATTATATGAATAATGTCACACAAAAAGATTCAATTTTAGCTTAATTCGTTCGTTTTTATCATAAATAATTAGGCTTTGGTTTTTACAATTATTTAATATTTGGACGAGGTTATGATGTAGCGTACAGCCAAAACATACAAATGAATGAATGGAGGAAGGAATGGTTAGATGAATGAATGAATGAATGAACGATCGAACGAACGAACGAACGAACGAATGAATGAATGAATGAATGAACGAACGAACGAATGAATGAATGAATGAATGAACGAAGGAATGAACGAACGAACGAATGAACGAACGAACGAAAGAATGAAAGAGTGAATAGAGTGAATAATTGAATAAGCGGGCACATAAACAAACGAGTAAATAAATAAATGAGTGAATAAATAAAAATGTTCCCAACCTGATGATGGCCTGTCTGAGTAACGAGTGCAATAAACCCAAGCAGGCCACAGCTTCCCTGGCTGCTGCAGCTGCTGTTGCTGCTGCTGTTGCTGTTGTTGTTGTTGTTGATGGTGGTGTTGTTGGTTCGATTGTTGATGTACAGACGTCATAGTTGTCAATGCTGAGGACGGTGATGAGAGGGGTGCGGATAAAATTAAAGATGTTGATGTTGTTGTTGATGATGTTGTTGTTGTTGATGATGTTGTTGTTGTTGATGATGTTGTTGTTGTTGATGATGTTGTTGTTGTTGTTGATGTTGATGTTGTTGCTGCTGGTGATAATGACGATGATGATGAAACGGATGATGATGGCGATGATGATGTTGAAGAAGATGATGGCGATGTTAAAAATGATGACGATTTAATTTTTCTGTTGTTGTTGTTGTGATTGTTAAAAATAACGTTGCTGATGTTGTTTATTTTGTTGTCTGGGATATAGTAGTTGTGATTGTTGTTGATCGTACATGATTTGTTGTTGTTCAGTCCGTTGTTGCTTTTATTGTTGATTATGTTACCTACCTTTAGTTGACTACCTATACAACTGAAATTGACGTTGTTGTTGTTATTGTTGTTGTTAGTATTTATATTAATGCTATTGTTGTTGTTATTTTTGTTTATTTTGTTAGGTTGTTCATCCAACAATGTTGCCATGTTGAATGATTTTTTGCGGTGTTGATTTGGTTGTTGCTGTGTATACCGATGTTGTTGTTGATGCTGTTGTTGTTGATGTTGTTGTTGTTGTTGTTGTGACTGGGCAGAGGTTTGCAATGGTAGAGATTGGTTCTTCATTTTAGCATCGCTAGTATTTTCATTACTAGATGTAGTATCAACGGTCGTTGCAGTAGCAGAAGCAGCAGCAGAAGCAGCTGTAGTAGAAGTAGTTGTAGCAGTAGCAGCAGTAGTAGTAGTGGTAGTACTGTCGCACGCAACATCAACATCTTCATCATCAGCATGATGTTTATTACTATTTTTGTTATCCTCTTCACTTACATTTCTATTAGCATTACAATCCTCGTTATTATTATTATTGTTATTATTATTGTTATTATTATTATTGTTATTATTGTTTTTATTATTGTTATTTCTAATGTGGGGACTAGTACAAATTTTTTTTGATATTCCAAAACTGCTTTCGTCGTCATTTAACTCATCATAATTACTACAATCATCAATTTCGTTGTTGTTGTTGTTGTTGTTGTTGTTGTTGGATTTTCTCTTCCTTTTACTGCAGGCTGTGTTGCTTATATTGAAGTTCCTACTTACAAATCGATCGTTAACATCGTCTGCACCCTTGTTATTATTATTATTTTTATTGTTGTTATTGTTGCTGCTGTTGTTGTTGTTGCTGCTGCTGTTGTTGTTAACAAGTTTAATATTATTATTATGGTTATTATAATTATTGTTGTTGTTTATGTGATTTGAGGATGATGTCATTGAAGACATAAACGATGGTGACGTCATTAAAGATGATGATAACGATGATGTAGACGATGATGATGATGATGATGATGGCTGTGACCCTAAATAGTGCTGAAACATATTTGATAGTTGCTTAAACTCATTACAGGTATTATCAATTTCGGTTTCAATTTCAGCTTTGAAACCATCATCATGTAGAAATTTGTCTTCGTTGCTGTTGTTGTTGTTGTTGGTGTGTCTATTATTGTTAATGTTGTTGTTGATGTTGTTGATGTCGTTGATGTTGTTGATGTTGTTTTTGATGTTGTTGTTGCTGATGTTGTTGATGTTGTTGTTGATGTTGCTGTTGTTGTTGTTAATGATGTTGATGTTGTTATTGTTGTTGCTGTTGTTGATGCTGATGTTATTAGAGTCACTGAATGTTTCTTTGTTGTTTTTATAGGTTTGAGATGGTAGTGGGAGGCCTCGCTGAGTTGAAGACGGACTGCTCAAATGCGTTTGAAGGATTTGGTGGAAGTTTGATGGTGGGTGCGATTGGTGATGAACGGCTGAGGAAGGAAATGGAGGAGACGGTAGTTGTTGTTGTGTCTGTTGCAGCTGCTGTGGCTGTTGCAGTTGCTGTTGTAGTTGTTGTTGCTGTTGTAATAGAAAAAGTCTTTGATGCTGTAGTTGTTGTTGTTGCTGATGAAGTAATAGATAGAAGCGTCGTTGTTTGTGTTGATGGTGGTGGTCAAACTGCTTCGTATAATCAAACTTTGACATAATATCGTCGATTGCATTGTTGTAGTTCTTGTCCTTGATGTTATTGTTGATGTTGTCAATTTTAAGTTGGTTGTTGATGCGATTGAAGACATTAACGAACTGGGGATGAATGTAACTTTTACCGTCAAAACATTTCTCATGTAGGGTTGGGTTTTTGTAAAAATTAGAACAGAATGGAGAGTATTGGAAGAGGTTGATGTCATTGCTGTTGTTGTTGATGTTGCTGTTGTCGTTGTTGATGTTGTTGTTGTTGCTGTAGCCGTTGTAAAAGTAATTGATGTTTTGTGATTTAAGTCCGAAGTTTGGGTCAAGGATGTCTCGGACTTTGAAACTTCTGCGAGAAGTTGTTTTTCTGTTTGTGGTCTTTTTGTTGTTGTTTATTTTGTTGTTGTCGATGTTGCTGTTGTTGCTGATGTTGTTTTTGCTTTTTATGTGGATAATGGTTTTGTTGAGTTCATTTGCATTGACATTGTTATAAAGCTTAAGTAAGTTGATGTGATTTTCGTCTATAACATTTGGCGTGCATGAAAAAACTTTGTTGTTGTTGTTGTTGTTGTTGTTTTGGATTTTAACCTTGTG